CAGCAGAAAGGACTGACAGCATCCTGCCTGGGAATGCACTCAAGCCAGGCAATAAAAGCATTCAGCTGAGAGAAATGAGCTATGGCTGCTTCCAGAGCAAGAAATACAGAATGCAAATGTTCTCTAATAGAGAAGGAATTGAAGAACAATCTCAAACCAAGACTGCTTTTTACCTTTCCCTAGGATAAGGAAGACTGAAGATAAGTTTTTTAAGGTTTCTGAATAAAAAAAACTTTCATAGCTTGGTTATAATGGCCAGATTACATACAAGGAAGAACAGGTGGCTGAATCACAGAAAAAAGCAGATTTGCAGGAAAAGGTCTGAAGAAAATCAGATAAACCTTCAGCTTGAATAACTTATTTGGTTTGTTGTTACTGAGAATATCTCGAGACAACTGAAATACGGACACTATCATGATATGTTGATAGAAGGCTGGATTACATACAATATATGAATTTTCTTAGATGTTTCTATTTTCAGCACTTATTTCATTGAAGGAAAACATGCACAGAGTTCTTCGAGAGCTGCAAGTAGGTTTTACATTAGTTTTGCTTTTAGTAATAAGACAAATACTGTTAACCAGCATTAAACAAAAAGCAAAAAAAAAATGTTGATTCAAACTGTATCTTAAAGTTACAAGGGAAAAGTAGTTAAAATATAAATTGAACCTTGGTTGGGTTTTTGTTTGTTTGTTTTTCCTCCAGAAAATACAGCTGCTCAGGACAACATATTAGTATTATTTGTTTACAATGAAGAAAGGCTTTATGAACCTAAAAACTATCCTACCTCATAACCAGTTCAGTTTTAGAATTTTACTTCCTTAGGATTTTTTTTGGTTGGTTTTTTAATTATTATTTTTCCAGAACAGCGTTCAAATGGCCATTTTTATTTATTTATTTTAAAGCTAGTGCTTGATCTTGAGCTATAAAGAATTTATAGCTATGTAAAGTTAACTGCAACAAAGGAAAACAACTATACTTTCTTTTTATATTTATATGAAAGGGTTTAACTAACTCAATTCATTTTAGAATAGTACGCTAACACAAAAGTTGATTATTTTAACACAGACACTTAGAAAATAGGTAGAACTGTTCTGCATTATCACTAGACAGCTTTCTATTAGAAAAAAATAAAAAGAAAGAAAACTCTTATCTTTCTTCTGCTTCACAGCTGTCAGTGTCCAGGCAGATGGCAAGGACAAAATGTAATTTAGTCAGAATTCATTAAGTATAATTAGGCAATTTGATAGCAATATAAAAGATTAAGATGGACATCTGAGCTAGGAGGTGTCAAAGACGGCACCTGTTTGCTTCGTTCAAAAATAATGAAGAAAGAAAACCATCTTTGTTAACAGCTACTCTACTGGCAAAGTAAGTTACCTGCAAGAACAGACCTTTGTGATACAATGCTATGCTATGGTTGCACATGAACAGTCATGTAGAGAAAAATCTATTGCTCTGCCTGGTAAAAATCAGCTAACATTAATGTGATTAATGTGATTCAGACCTCAAACAAGGCATAATGAAAAAAAAAAAAAAAAAAAAAGAAAAAAGAAAAAAAGAAAAAAAGAAAAAAAAAAAGGCCTAGAGCCTCCTAACCTTCCAATGTTACTATTTCTGTTTAGTTTCTGTTATAAGAAAAAACAGAATTGGAAACACTTGTTTTGTTGATTTTTTGAAAGGACATCTATCATTAGACTCGTTGTCACGACACTTAATACTTACGTAAATTCTGTCCTTACTGTACCGAACTTTGATATTGTGAAGGAGAGTGGCCTCATTTAAATACATAAGGGAACCTGCAAGTAAAAGACAATCATGTATACCATTAAAAGCTCAGGACTACCTTTGTGTACAGACGAAAAACTAAATCTTAGGATTAAGGAGAACTTTACTTCCCCTCTCTTTGGTTACAGTTTAATCCTATCATTTCTTTATACTGTCTTGAGGCAGAACTGCTGACTGAATATACACTTTAAAAACCATAGACCTGCTCTTTACTGTACAACTGGCGTTACAGAAAGCTGCTGAACAAAGAGTCAGACTCCAGGAGTCTCGACACAGGCCCTGCTGAGTGTAAGCTCCCTGTTACCAGCCCTTCAGACGAACACGGTGCGTCTCCCTCCATGCTGGCCCATAAGCGCAGAAACCGGGGCCTACCAAAATCCCTAACACCGACCGTTTCTTTCCTTCCAGCTCCCCTCTCCAATCTCCGCCACAGTGTCCCCAGGGTTAAAGCCATCTAACTGACGTTTAGAATAACTGCTGGCTCCTGGTGATTTTTAGCCGTCTATATTCACTGATTCAATCGGGAAATACTGTCTAGAGGCGGCAGCAGGCATCACTGCAACACCAGGCACCAAGGCAACCTTTCGTGTTTCAATTCTGAATTTTGTTGCTACTAGGCCTCCTCAAAAAAACTGTTGGCGGGGGGGGGAGGGAGTTAACAAAACCTAGCTTTATTTTTCTCCTTAGCTTCTATATAAAATAACCAAACCAACTCTGCTGAAATGTTACAAGGCAGCGGCTCAAGGCAGCGAGCAGACACCCACAGAAAGCTTCAGACCGTACCGGTTCACATTCTGGAAAGCTGGTCCTTTTTTCAGCTATAAAGCACTGGAAAGTGCTTTAATTACAGAGGTCATTACCAGTTCCCATTGTAACAATATTAAAAACATTATCCCTAAACCAGCTGAGGGCACTATTCATTACACAGCCTCCCTTTTCAAATATGCTCAATCCTCTTTTTCTCACCGCTTAAAATTCAAGTGCACAACACTGTTTTGTCTAGTTACAAGTGACTGACTACCATAATGGTAAACCTTACAGTATTAGTGCCACTTAAAAAGCTGTATACACCTGACTACTATTGATGGAGTAAGGACTGTACTTGTAATAATAACTGCTACCCCGCACCTCACACGAGGGCCACATATGCACCTCTCATCTATAATGACCAACCAAATCGTTTCTGAAGTTGGACCGATGCCCTTTCTCAAGGGCTCCAGCAGAGAAAAATGCATTCCAACTTATTTACACAAATATGCAAGAAGGGCTGCCAGTTCTTATGGGCTAAAGTCAACCTGCCCAACCACCTCGCCCTGCAAGGATGACCGAAGCTCAGCAAGCAGCTCTTAACATCGAACCAAAAGATACTGGCAAAGGATAATGGGAGCTTCTCAAGACCATCTGTGTTTTCGTTTTCAATCTTTTACCCTTCCTCCCGCAATGGACTGAGGAGTGGCTGTGGCTCTGCCTCCTACCACCTACACCAGACCAGCCTGAAGCAAAGGCAGGTCCAGCAGTGGTGTGCAGCCTCCTTCTGGCTTGCATAACTCTGCTGAATAACAGCCCTTCCTTCCCTTACGTGACTAAATACAGCTTTGCTTCATATGGCTGGAGTCGTTCATGCTTCTCAAAGGATCTTGCAAGTTCTGGGTTGTTTAGAAGAAACCATCTTCTTCCGCGAACTCCCTTGCATGTACACCCCTGCACTGGCAGAGGCACACAAGGCACACTCTAGCTTTATGCTAAGCGAAATCTCCATTTGGGTCACAAAGCCCTGAAATCGGGCCTGTGCACGATACCTTCATGAAGCAGTAGGCTGGCCCCGATCACCACGGCCCTTCCCGTCACCCCAGCAGACCTACATCCCCAATAACCACGCAGTCGCTGCTACCAGCAGCAACTGAGCGCAGGTGCCCAGCGCAGGACTCCTCCTCCTCCCCTCCCCAGGCACATTCAGTCCACGGGGCTGAGAAAATGGCGCTGGGACCACAAATTGCAGGTCTGCCTCCACAGATCTCTTTCCACCTTCACCTCTTTTAACAAGGTCATCCCGAGAGAGAGAGACATTAAAAGGAAATAGGCCACAAACAGAAACTCCTGCTTGCTCTAATAAAAGTTAAAATCTCCTTCTCCCCTTGTGTATGCCTTGGCGGGGGGGAGGGGGACAGAGTGTTAACTTTTGAAGTTTGCTAATTTTTTAAGTCATTTGGATTCTCAGTGTTGAGTTGAGAAACTCCTATATAATAATTGTCCACATACACTTAAAGAAACGATCCTCTCCCTTGACTGTATCTTCATAAGAACCTCTCAAGTTTGCAGTATGTTTTAAAGGAAACAGTCATCAGTTAAGCATCCTAATAAAAACTTGATAATTATCTAAACAACAAAGGACCCCAGATTTCAGTGCGTCCCCAGTACTCTTTGCAAAAAGACTCCAGCCCCTGTTAAAGCAGTTATACCTGCAGATTCGGTGCATAATGGGAACCTGCTCCCTGAGGGAATGTCGCTGCCTTCACTCAAGACATGCAAACTAAGGCTTATGTCAGCAACTTTAAAATGCATCTTCTTTAGAATAAATCCTTTAAAAGAGGCATCCATATCCAGAGGCAAAGGAAGTCACCAGAGAGATGATTCTGAATATTCATATGGCTCATGCCTAAATATAACCAGTGTATGTATGTGCATTTAATAGACCATATATTTACTTATACACACACCCAAAGTTCACAGAAGTGAAATCAGGCACTAAAAGTTAGGAAATATCAATGTCAAATTTACTCACACTGGCTCTCCTGTGCACACAATGAAGCAGGGTTTGCATGGAAAATAATTTATCAAGTAATTGCAAGGCTTTGCATCTGTAGAACTATTTATCCAATACCCTGCCCCCCTTCATTTTTTAAAATTGTTTCACCCCAGAAATTTAAAAAAAAAAAAAAAAAATCTTTTTCTTGGCCATAAAAAATAAAAATTCCACATATGGTGACAACCCCCCAATACTAAGTGGCGTTGGGGGGGCGGGGGGTGAAGAGCATGAATCACAAAAAAAAAAAAAGAAGTAAATGCTTTGTCTCTGTGCTGTTTGCAATATTTACTGAAAATTCACATTTAAGGAAGGGCTACATTCTCAAAAAGGTGCGTCTTGCAGCTAATGCGTTTGGGATATGAAAGACTAAGGGTGCAAAAAAGCAATACTTCAGCAAATTACCTCCTAGAAGGGAGTTAATCACTAAAGCATAGGTTGGAATGGTAAGTGTATTATTAACTAGTTTTTCAGGATTTTTCAGAACAGTATTATAAGGAGAGACTGAAAGCACTCAGTACTTTCTGGAGTTTCTTCTTAAAGATCAATGCGCTCAGCACAAATGCCCTCTGACAGAGAAGGAAAATGAATTGGGTTTCACACATCTGGAGATAAACTCAACTAGTGAACAAAAAGCGAGAATACGTTAGAAAAGTCTCAAAATAATGTTTGATACAGAAGGGATTACTGGACAAAGCATTTTTAAGTCTTATATTTTATTCAGTAAGCCAAAGAAGGCATTTCTCTGATAGGAAGGGTGTTTTAACTTAATTGAATAGTATTTTGCTGGAATCTCAAATTAGTTCCATAATCTCATTCCAAATTTCAATTCTCTGACACTAGGACACTGAGGTGCCAGGACATCTCAGTAAAATCACTGTGACAGATGCGCAGATTAAATGCATTTCCCTAACAATCATCATGTACAGAGAATACTGATACCAGCTTTGAAAAGTTTCAACCTACGTAATGCTTGCAAAAATATAAGCAACTGGAATCAAGGCTATCAGCTTGGTTCCACCTGTAATGACACTGTACCATCTACGTCAAATCATAAGCCTCAGGTCTCATCTTCTTGTTCCTTATGGAGCAGCTGTAACAGCTGTATTTCCTGTCACGGGATATAAATACTAACCCCTATTCCAAAACAGGAATTGTGGTTAAATCACCTAAACAACTTTCGAAGTCCTAGCCTCTATTTTTAATCAAGAACAATAGAAGATACTTTTGCCCACCATTTACAAAGTTATCAGTATTTTCACCAACCAGTAAACACCATAGGAAACGTTTAAAAGAATTTCCTTCATCAGGTTTTCAAGACAAGAGAGTCTCTCTGATTTGCTCACACAGCAAAATACTCCCACAGCAACAAAATACTTGTTTAACAATTCTCTAAAAGCTGATGCTAGCGCTTACTCATCTTTCTTGGTACTCTCTCCCATCTCCTCAAGATTTGAATACTATATTTATTTCCACACATAAAGCTTCTAACTACAAAATATTTAACAAAATAAAAGCCCTGCAGATCAACACTTAAGTTTACTACACAAGTTTACCTCAAAACTCCTTCTCCAGCAGCACTCCTGTATCCACTTCACCATAATCTATTTCCTTTTCCAGTGGCCCTGATGGGTGAAGATTCCTGCCGCCAGTTTTGGGAAGGTTATCTTAAAATTTATTTTCAATTACCTGTACTTCCACAGGAATGCTATCTGAGAAATGGGTTACATGCAGGAAAATGCTGTACAATACAGCTGCTGATAAAGCAACTAGTTCTTTTGCTGCACTATAAAATATATAGTTAACCCCCATAACGCTGAATGCAGTTGATCCTGATGCAGTTAGGTGACATCTGATATATATCTGAAGTCAAGTAACTATGACTTCCTCTGAAGTGTTCAACTGAAAACTGAAAACACAACAAATGTTGTTTAAAATGGGCTTACTTTAAGAAGTTTAAAGGACTAGTAAAGGTCATACATAAATTCAAGCAAAGAAGGAAAACAAAAACTACAAGGAAGAAACAGGGAGCTTGTAAGGAAACAATATTCTCTTCTATACAGATATTTTTTTCAAATGCATAATTTATTTTTAAATTCATAGCTTACAATTATCTTCTACATCCTTTTTGCTGTCCTCTTCCGCAGGAAACACTTGATTGATAGCAGCCTGGAAAGTCTGTTAGATGAAAAATATTAACATTGTCAGAATTCCATAAAAATAGAAATACAGTTCAAAGATGTCTGATGCGATGACACAAGTGAGTGTACTGTAATTGTGCGTGGTTTAAAATGAAGTTACCAGCTTTATACTTCAGCATTGGAAATTTTACTGAGTTACTAGATGCATATAGGAGCTGCTGCATTTACATCACTACACTACATTATAAAAATGCAGTCTCTATAATATATATTTTTACTGCAGTAATATTTGACGTTCATTTCCAAAATTGCATGTAATATTGTAATATTGTGAAATATAAAAAATAAGGATAAAAAAGTACTGCAAAGGGAACGGCATTGTACAGGACACACAACTTCAGTTTTGCAAAGAAGCACAAAGTATAAAAATCAAATTATTAGTTCAAAGGACTGTGCTGTCATCATCATATGCTGTTTTAAAACATTCCTACTTAAAATATAAATATTCAATACATAATATCCTCTGTATCCCCAAATACTGTAGCTTTGGTTGTTGCTTGTTGGTTTTTTTTTTCTTCAGTAAATCAATACTAAAGTAAAACAAGACCTTCTTTCAACCCTTGTATTCCAGTTATACAAAACAGCCATTTATCAAGTGTTCATGTCCGATTGGAAAAATTCGTAACAAAAGCAACTTTGTTTCTTCTTAATTCTCCAGAAATCATAATTTATATTGTTGTAAAAAGGAAGGAAAAACATCCCAGCCCAGACGCATTACAGCATCTGCACAAAAATACCTATTGTAAGAGGTAAGCTTTTAATTACACTTTTTTGTTTACCGTAGTAATAGCTTGTTTGAGCTATCTATGAATGAACAAAAACCCTGTTGCACCAATTAAACACGATAGCTGCCATGCTGCTGCAAGCACAGTCTCCTTTTCCCTATGGAAATGGAGACAAGAAGTCTAGTCTAATATTTGAAAAGGCAACCAACTGTATCTAAAGAATGACCTTAATAAACAAACCAGTTCGCTTGTTTAACATTGTACTCCGCAAAATAATCCCATGAGAAACATCTCACATGGAAGTTTAGGAGAAATACAGCAACTTGCTTCATCTTTGCTTCAGTACAACAGGCATAGTGTGTGAGCTCTTGTAGCTTACACCATCATGAACAGCCACAAATTCCAACTCCCTTTGAAGTAGGAAGGGTTAAAAATGTCTCAGAGCAGAACTAATTGCTGCCAGTCGGAAAACAGTAAGTCTAGGATATCCCTTCCCTACAAGTTATCATAAAGTATGCAATTTGTAGTCATAATAAATTATATTTTGTCATCCCCTTATCAGGATCTAATGCAGAAAAATATGCACAAGAAGCTTTCCTAAGGGAAACAGAGCTGCTCAATGACGTTGGAGTGTCTGAATGTCCATCAGACCAACTTCCTCTAAAATACCCTTTACCAGAGCTTGGTGGAGCTGTGGAGGACCTGAACGTCTTTACCTATCTCAGAAAGTCGCCAGCTGCTATTCAGAGTTTTAGCAGGGCAGAGATTCCCCCATTTTCCTACCTCTTACAATACTGCAGTTAGAACATATTATCCTAACAATTTTTTCTGCAAGTTTGTCAACAATAAAGGTATATCTCATTGGGTAAAGATATATTTCAACACAACAGTTTCCCACGTAATCAGTTCACTGTGCTTGAAACAGTGGAAAAGTTTAAAAAGATCATGATTGGCTTCATGAAAATCTAACTTCACTTCTTGTTCTTGTCTGCTGCTGTGTAACGCAAGTTTAACCACTAACAAAGACAAAATTTTTTTTTTTTTTTACAGGAGAGAATGAACACGATACCCAGTTATTCTCTAAGACTCTTCACAAGTCTCCGACATTTCATGGATCTAAAGCCAGCCATACCAGATCTATCCCAGAAGAGGAAGGAAGAGATTTTTCAATGTCCTCACCACTCAGCCTTCTGATTCAAGATAAATTTCAATGAAAAAAATAATGAGAATTCATGCTGTATTATGTCCTCCTTCATTTTTTTCATTCAATGTGAATTGTGAATTAATTTCTAGAATATTTCAGAAATGATAAAACAGATAAGCAATATGAAGAAGACATCTGAAAGCTGATGTTTTTCTGCTGGACTTTTTTACATCAGAACATGAAGCCTAGTTTCAACTACATCAACAAAGGATTTCACTCCTCTATGTCATAGTTGGATTACTGCTTTATGTAAGGTGATTACTTGTTTTGTAAGTAAGTATGTTAGCTAGGTGTGCAGAGCTCAGTATTGCCAATTACTATTAAAACCTAATATATTAAATAGGAAAATGGGCAAGGTATCCCAGGTCTATTAATAAAAAAAATCCAAAGAAATTCTTTACCATGTTGTCCCATTTTTTTTTTTTAAACATTTATTGTAAGGAGAAAACACTTCAGGCACTTGGTGGAAGACTTTTGCATTAAGACAAAGCTTAGGACAAACTTGTTCTAAGAAAATGCAGAGGATATGAATCTTATGAGACACTAAAGTGGTCCCAGGAGGCAAAACAGAGGGTTTAGGGTGGGTTTTTTCGCCCCTCTTTGTAATGAAGCAGCCCTTGAAATCCAATGGCAATCTTAACTGTTCTCCCAGAAACTAGAGGAGTGAAAAAAGATATCTTTCTGTTCAAGCAGGATCTTCTTTCTACCATGTAATCCAATATGTGTAACCATGCCTTCCATTATATCTTCCAGATACAGACAGAAGACATCCCTACTCTCAGCTGTATTTCACAAACCAACCTAAAGCAGTACAAATGGTGTGTAAGACAGACAAGAACATGTCTCATTCACGCAAGCAAGCTGCGCTCACTGCTAAAAAAAAAACCTTAGCTTGAAACACTGAACTTTGGACGTTCTGATCCTTACTTTCAAAGTACATTTATTCATTTATACTTAGCCCAGGAAAATACCTTTCTGGTTATTCACAGCATACCAGAGCAGGTGCCCCATAAAGCCCTCCATGACCCTTCAGAACTGGCACAGAGCCATAAAGTGCCTCTCAGTTGACGGCAGGAGGGGTGTCAGCAAGTGCCTGCAGCACCACATGCCCTCCCAACAACTGCCAGAAACTCAATATGCTGAAGCTCTAGGTAACGCCTGCCCTCCACTCCTCAGTGCCACGAGGATCCCAGGAGGGCATCTCAGCGTGCAAGTTCCTCCGAGGCATCTCTTCCTAATTGCTTTACTTAGATTTGCTACCTCCAGGAAAAGAGTAAATTCCCCATTTGGCTGTCATCTGCCTCTCCCTGTTACAGCATCAAGCAACACAACAAAGGAAGATATATGCAACAGGATCTGAGGTTAGGATTCCCAGTAAGTTCAGAAAGTACACTCCAAGTAGAAGTGGAAACGCAATACTAGTTGAGTTTAACAACTGGCTGCCTTTCTACCCGCTTCCTCCCCTGCACACCAGCGTGCGACTGCTGGTGGGACACTCCCAGCCCCGGCCCCCCACTCCGGTTTGGAGCCCATCCTCAGGGCAGTGCTCCAGCCCTAGGTGGGACCATGCTCATTAGCAAATCCCTCTCCAGTTTCTCTGTTGTCTTTCCAGTCATGGCATTTATCAGCCTTGCAAGCCGATGATCTAGTTTCCAGGGAGTTGCTCCCATCGCGTAACACACACATCCTCTGTTCTGATAACATGCTCCTGCAGCTTGGATTACTCTTTCTCATACAACGCAAGCTAGGTGACTCAGATCCCCACCTCTCTTTAGACACTCAACCTCCGCACAGAAATGTAAATGCCGTTGTTAACTCTGTATGGGCTGCGGTACCCAAAACTGCTGTTGCTGGTTTGTAAGTAAATCAGTGTGTTGGCCAACCACCTTCAGCCAGTCTGGACTGGGTAACTTGGTTTCATAATACAAAGCAATCTACGGCCATGCTGGCCTCAGGTCCTCGTCCTCCTGCCACTGCTTGCTGCTGTCCTGAAAACTTTCCACTTCTTCATTTTTAAGGTGGATCCGTTCTCTGACCTCGTTTGCTGTGTCACACACAGCTCGGCGAGCAGAGCTGAGAGGGTGCCACTCTGCAACGCCAGAGCTAGCTACGGGTGGAGAAGGGAGGGAAGATTTTAAGATATCATGAAACTGCTGCCTTGCAGCATTTATTGCAGTTATTAACAAAATATTTTAATTAACCATTAAGTGGTATAAAAGGCAATAATCAAATATATGCATACACATTTCCTTTTCAGCCTGTGATCTCTGGTAAACTACCAGCGCCTACAGAGAATACATATGACATGTTAATGACCCAGATTAAAAAATAATAATAAGTTACACTGCCTGGATATGTTTACAAGATCAGGTTACTCTTCTCCTCCCTGTAATTATCATGGGCAACTCTGGAGCTGCTGAATCACTCCTTTTTACTGAAGAGCACTTTTGAACTATCATTTTAAGTAAACAAAGTTGATAATAATGGGTATTAATGCTGACTACTTCAAATTAGTGGTCCAAGCGCACAAGAACAGAGTCTTCTTAAAAAGACAAAAAGCAATGAGAAATATTTCACTATAAAAAGAATCAATGACGCCTTGGAAAGACTAAGGTAATCAAGAAAATGTTTAACTCCACCTCTATTAATATAAGGAAGTTTGATAATTAGAAATATAGGACCATAATCTCTACAGTATTTAAACTGTGAAGTGCTTGTTCCCTTAGATGAATGAACATTAGGCCCTTAATTGATCTGCTTAATTCAAGAAAACAGCCAACAGCAGAATAGCAAACTTTTTAGACAAAAGAGATTGTTCATTGTGAACCATGAAGCAAAGTATTTGTATTTTAGGATCACTTTCTGGTTTTACAAAAAAGAAAAAAAAATTATATATGCTTCCTGAAAGCAACATATGTTAGAAATAAATAGTGACTCAGGAATCTCCTTATTGCCTGTTTCTGTTTCAATATACAGACTTTTACTCTTTATCACATCAGAACCATTTTGAAATATAAACAGAAATAGTGGTGGGGGTCAAAATCTTTTAAGTCAGTTAAAGACTACTTAGTTATAGTTTGAAATATTTAATATTCTTGTCTGAATAATTTTCTCTCCCCCAAACTGAAGAATGCATACTACTACTACTAAACATACAGACTTTATCTCACACACAAAAATCAGACTTGCTTTATATTTCTAAAAAAAGCAAAATCAACTTCCTCTCCAAGATGTAGAAAAAGGAAAGCCTATAAACATTCCCCCCAAAAGGAAGGACTGCTGCATAACCTTTTGACCTGTGACAAGGCATTCTCTATTATTGTTGATGTGAAAAAAGAAGTTACAAAAAAAGCTTTGTCTTTTCCATACCTGAAGATACAGAAAGGACAAAATTATTAGAAAGGTCACATACACATATTGACGAAGACCAAAATCACAACTTTTAAAACAGTGTCTGATCTTATTCCAACTACTAAAAGCCAGGATGCTGACCATCTGAATTAGGGTAATTGATAGATACAAGGTACTTCCTGTAAAAACTGACATTTAATTACAACATACTGAATCTGAAAGATGTCATGATAAATGAAGCATTTGGAACACTCTAATTAGGATGAATTAGGACTTCATTTTAAAAGTTACATTTATTTTGCCTTTAATTTGATGTAGCAATTCCATAGGACCTTTGTTTGACATCATGTTACTTCTCAAGGTACTTGAGGTAAGAGGATTCATCTCTCAATCTTCTTCAGTCTAACAGTAAGGTGTCTAATCTAAGCCAGAGTCTAGGACACCCCTGTAGGACACTTTCTCTATGCATTTAAGGGAAAAGAGAGAAGCTAATCTCAACAGTAGACTCTTAATCAGTCTCTAATTTAGAAAAATAAAGTATGCAGTACTGAATCAAATGGCTATGGAGATTCAATCCTTCTGTCTTTCACAAGCACATACACACATGCAGATAACTGACAGAAAGCAAGCACTTCTTATCAGTGGGATATTTCATTTGCAATGCAAGCTAAAGCTCAACAAAGATCCTTAGCCAGAGAAGACTGATTTCCCACTCCTTCAGGTTGTGTATAATGGTAGATATTAGTAAAGATTTGGCCTACAGGTAAAATAGTGTTTGTAGGGTTTTTCTCTATTCTTTTGCTTGCGAGACACTTACCTTGCCTTTCTGATTCAAAGGTTCAATAGTTAAGTTGTCAGTGCCGATGTCCACAATCATTCCCATCTGAAACCCATCAGTTGGGTGTGGAGCCCAAACGGGCTTCCCGTCCTCCATTGTGGGATCTATCCAGTATTTCCTGTAAGAAAAATAAAATAAAAACTAAACAAAAAAAATTTGTATACAAATTTAGTAAGCTATCAGGATTCACTATTCGGACTTCAGTTTATTATGTTTATTCCTGTTATTCCATGTGGAAGTAGCCAGCCTGTCAGGGCAAGATTCTTCCAACCTTCTTCCAACCTGTGACATTTTGCTTACAAAGGACCCCCTGAGACCTGGGTATGGAGAAGATTCAAGAACAGATTACTTTTTTGGGGGGCTCCACAGACTAATCCCTGCAGCTCTTTCCCCAATTTCCCTAACTTGTGAACCAAAAAGGGGCTCATCTCACGATCAAAATAGAAGTACAAAACATTCAAAGCTAAGACTATACTAGGAGTGTGTATATACACACACACACATATATATATGCACATAGTGGGTCGTATGACTAATAGATACTTGTCTGTACCTTACTTGGCGTGCAAATACTTGAATTTCTGTAACGGGCATGTGTCGAGGCATGTGAGCAGAAACACAGTCTCTTGTCATTTCAGATGAATGAACATGCCCACTCTTTTCACGTGGCTGGGCATATGGCTTTTAAATAACCCATGAATATATTCGGTCACAATTGATTTATCATATTAGAAGCTTTTGAGAGACTGACCTCTGATACTATGACATTACAACTCTGCCTCTCAAGGAACACCAACCTTACTTTCTATAAAAATATGATGTGAAAATTATTTTAGAGGAATGTATGGTCTACAAGCGAAATAGATGCAAAGGCCAAGACATTCAAACCTCAGGCTCCTCAAGTTATGCAGCTAAATAAGGTCCCAATTAAAAGGAGTATTTGAGTGCATGCAATGCTCACTGAACTAACCAGGAAAGTTGCCAGGATTGGCACACTCTGAATGGCTAACGGTGCCATTTTAAATATGCTGAATTAGTCCTTTTTTTTTTAAAAAAAAAGAAAAAAAAAAATCTACTTTATAGTTCTTATCCTAAGAAGAATAGGGAGTCCACACAGCTTGAAAGGCTCACTTCTCCTGGCCTTTTCTCACTCCCCTCCAAAACTCATTCACATACTAAACTGCCATGTTTTAGTGATTCCAAAATTGTAGAAAGTATCTCGTATCACCGAAGTGTAACTGGCCTCTCTCAGCATGAACGAAATGAGCCTGCCAAGCAGCAAAGAAAACACTGGCAGCAAACTCCAAGAGTCTGCAAGCTAGGAAACACGTCCCACATTTTTCTTTTCCCACATACGAAGGAAAAAGGAGCTCCAAAATTTCTCACAGCCAGGGAAGGCTGCAGACCCCTTTGCCATGAGCAGCGGCAAGGAAAAAGAGTCATCGGTCCACCAGAAAGTCGTACAACCACGAGCAGAAAAGGACACTCTTGTCCCACAGAGGATCTGTCAGGATGTGCTGCACATGACCTGCTTTTTGCTGCCTCCAAGGACTTTAGAAAGGTTTGAAGAGAAGGAAAAAGCTTGCTGTGACCGCTTTGAGGATGGTCTTAACATCTTACTTGCCAAGAAATAAGACAATTTGCTGTTAACTTTAATGTGAAATGATAGAAGATAAAAAGTAATTCTAAAGCAAAGACTCAGAATGCAAAGTCAAATATTTTTAAAATGAAGTAATGTTCTGAAGAGCCGGGAAAAACTAGCTATAGAGTTCTTAATTTAGTGTTGATACTTGGTTTTGTGTTTAAATTTACCCAGTTAATCAGAGTTTTTCTCCCTAAAAGCAGTTCAGGATGTAAGAAGCTCAGGAAGATTTTAACAAATGTTTCTAATGTGTTCTACTCACACAATTCATGCTATTTAAAACATTATATTTAATACAGGAAAACGTGCAGTTTACTTTCCCTCCATGAACGGAGCATATTAACTTCTTTCAACTACTCATAGAAAGTTTATGTACTAAAACCTTGAGTGTCACTTTCACTCCTATTTACTTCAAACCTTTTGCCACATCCCATGAACTCTACAAAACACCATCATCTTCGTCATGTGTTGCCAGCATTGTATGATAAATCCTGTAAAACAACATCTGTATTTACTCACAATTGGCTGCTGGCCATTTTTCTTTACTTTAGGATACTGTAAATCACATCTAGTATACACCACAGTTTTATGATTTTTTAACTTTTGTTTTTAGCCAGATCTGACCTCTAAGTACAACTGCCATCGCAGGCAGAGTTGCTAAACAGCTGAGTTTATTTCTGGATATAACCAGGCCTTCATTTCTTCACAAGACTGTAATTTGCTTTCAAAATGCTAGTTCAAATTAGTACTTAAGTGATATATCACACAACCACTAAAAACAAGGCTCTCTCTTACATTCCCAGTAGCATGGCCAGGGCTCCGGATGGAACCATGTCGCAAAAGAAACCAACCCTGAAATCACTGCCAAAATTTCTGCCAAAAGTTAGAATCTGACCTCCCCAATTAACATCTGGAGGCTTCTGCTTTGCTCACTGACATGGGCTTTTGCATTTTTACATATTCTTAAGCCTACTTCATGCTTTATTAATAAATTACGACAGGGGAGCGTCACGAGCTTAAAAAATCCTCTTGAAGGACAGAGCAGTGATTGAATTCAGCCACCACCAGGAAATGCATGTTTAAGAAAAATACCTGAGGCTTTGCAAGCATCTAAGAAGCCATTGGGTGAAAACATCTAAATACGAGTGTAGTAGTTATTCACGGGACAATTATTTTTAATAAATACAGCCTTCTGCCTGAGAAGCGACACAAAACCAGTTGTAACATTTTGGTTTTGGCACCACTCCATCTCTGTCAGCTGGGACTCTGACAGGCAGCACATTAAAATTGGATACTGAAACCTATCAGGTCATACCTGCTCTATTATCTACCCCTCCAGCTGATGTATATGCCATTGCCCTTGAGGCAGATGCACGAAGTCTATTCCTGAACCAGCTCTTGAATAGCCTGTTTCCAGCCCAGCATTTTAAGGCGAACAGAAACAAAAAAAGTTCAAAGTTCAACTACCTGATATAAGTCCTTTAGAAAAAGAAAACAGCACTTTTTTAAAACATGAAACTATGCTTTACTGATTAAAACATACATATCACAGAGTACAAACTGGATAGAGCATCTTCAAATCATATTTTCCCCATAAAAATACAGCCCCAGTTATTTATTTATTTATTTGTTCATATTAATGAATGGTTACAGACCATAACAAACTTTTTTTTTCCCCATGTGCATCCATCTAAATCCAATCTACAAGCAGCCAACTTCATGACACTGCTGAAAGAGCACACCGTTTCTGAAAACTATGAAAGCAAAAAGACTCATATCCAGGCTAAAAGCACTAAGGCAACAAATTTGAGAGCAACACCAACACACACAAGGAGTCACCTGAATGATGCTTCCATACAAAGGAGGTCAAAATGAGCTATCTTCCACATTTGTATTTGTATATATATACTCAACATATATTAAAGATTAAAGTAGTTGATTATAAGGTGCCGGGTCATTTTGGTCTCCACAATTAAGACTTCTTCCAACACGAAGAAGAGAATTCACAAACGTTACGCTTATAACCAGGAAGCCAGCCGCCCTTTTCTCGTTCTGCAGTCAGTAGAAAAAGAGACCAGGAACCCTGTACTGGAGTTTGTCTCTCCGTTGAGCAGGAGAGGGACAGTAATAAAACAAGCCTTTGTCTGTAGTTGGTAAACTTAATAGCTATTCCTTCAAAGGTCAGATTTTATATTTTCATAATTGGCAAGCAGTAACAGACCTTGCCATAATTATCAGTAATAGTATTCAACACATTCAGCACTGGCTAAACACTAGTAGCCAGCAGCTAAAACAACTTGCAAAACAAAACTATACTGCACTCCACAGATTACAACAGCAAGAAGAACACCTACCAGCTCTTCTTTAACTCTTTTTGCACTATTACTCCCTCTTTTGGAGAATGTTTAATGATATTGTTTCTCAAAAAAATTATCTACATAACACACTGAGTATATGAAACAACTAAAAATTCCTCAGTCAAAAATGTTATCCTCCCTCTTATCTTTACGTAAATATTATTGATTTTAAAAGAATGTAATACAACTACATTTTGGTTTTGTAGGATATTCAAAAGGAAATCAAACAGTACCATCAGGTGAAAGAATTCTAGGAAGGCAAAGTATAGTAATGCAATTTTAAACTTGTTACCAGAGCCCAGAGGTAGGCATTTGCATGGTCTGATTTACTATCCTATGAACAGTTTACTATACTAAGGCACTGTACTGATTGCTGAATTAACTAATTAAAACAAACGAAAAATTAAACTTCATTAAACAACTGACAGTATCTTGTTAGGTTGGCTAAATCCAACGAAAATAAACTAGTCAGAATAGATATAGTAGCAAATTATCAGAGTAAAAGTAGAATTACATAATTTATTTTATATTTAAAAAACCCTACTATTTGCGTGTTTAAGAGCTGCTCAAAATTCTGCAGGTTATACCGGGCCCATGAGAACGCTTTGGGAAAGGTCCTGTGAACACACAGGGCAGACCAGATAGAGGAAAACATTGATACATTGGTAGCTTACTGTCAGTCCAGTTATTTTTTCAACCCTAGTTCAGTGTTTAACCGAAACTTCAACAAATCAAAGTTTATGCAGCATTCAGCACTCTACTGCAGGTGACATAATATTTCAAAGGAACTGCACATATAGTACAGAGATTTTTTTTTTTTTGAGCTAAACGCAATACAGTTGTAACTGCATTGTTTAACTGAATATTAAACCCATTCAATTTTTATTTCTTATTTACTTTTGCAATTTAATATAAAACTTCTCTGCTCTAACACACTCTAGTTTAGCCATACCAAACTGCAGTGTTTTCGTACCTACTTATGATGACACCAGCAAGGTAACTGTGTCAAGCGGAGACTTCTGCCAACCCGGAAAAGAAGAAAATGGGCTAGAATACAGCACAGCACAAAAGTATCTTCAAAAACAATTTCTCTTGAAAATGTTAATGCTGACA